TGTACAGGAATACTGCTGTGATTGTTTTACATTTTTAATTTTGATTATTTTAGTCATAGTCTTTTGAATATTTAGTTTTAGTCATAATTTAGGCATCTGAAATATTGTAGTTTCAGTCTATTTCTATTTTTAGTCTGTTAAATATCATTGAAAGTGTAAAGGTTTGTTTCCATCTTATTTTCCTTGATATCAAATGTGAAATGTGTGCATATGCTCACTCTCCTCTTCCTCCCAGGTTTCGATATTTGGTCACATTTTATGCACAGGGCAATTACCTCTGATTGGGTCACTTCCAAACTCGTCCCGCCTTTGTACACAGCTTAAATATTTCTGATTGGATCTCACATTTTTTATTTTTTTTAGACCAAAGTATCAATATATTCCATCGCACTTTTTTGTCTCGTGCACTAGTTTTTAGTTAGTTATTGTCTCCCTTTCATCATGAAAACAAAGGTAACTGATAAAAATTATGACAAAAATAATTGGTCAGTGAAAATAACACTGGATAAGAGCACCCATGCTGATGTAGCATTAACTTGTAGCTTAAAAATAACATGCACAAACCATTCCATGGGTGCAAGATTTCCATGACAAATTGAGGTATTCAGTACAGTTTCTATTACAACATTTTATTGAGATTGATGCCATATATAGGTTGTTCCCCCAAGGATCAATATAGTCTGTGTAGTTGGAATTACTGGGTGGTCCCATCATGGTGTGTCCACATCAGTCAAATATCTGTTGCAGTCAGCTGGACCACAATTAAATAATTCTGAGCAGCACTTGGCAGACTGCAGCAGCCTGCATGTGTGTGTGTTCCATGAAAATCAAAAGTAACAAAAACCCTGCCATTCCTCAAGGCTGAATCATTTCAGTCACATTTTCTCCTGGAGATGTCTAAAGACAGGCTGTCTTTTGTTGCCATAGAGACCTGAATCCCCCCGAACACAGTGTAGAGATCTGGCAGGTTTTTGACCATAATTCCGGGTTGTCACCCTCTGGCAGTAATAAGGGGAATATGTAGCACACAAGCACAAACTCCTTGTCTTGGTACAGAGCTCTCACTGCGGGACCAAAGTGCCACTTAAATCCGGACTCAAATTTTCTGTGATTGCAGGTTCCGATGGAGACGTCGCCTGTTCATTATCTCCGCTCCCAACGACGAGGAGTGGGCCTATCAGCAGCAGCTCTACGCCCTCAACAGCCAAGCCTGCAATCTGGGTGAGTCACCAGAAGTCAACCAGTTTAACTTTTCAGAGGTCACTTCAGTTGCTAAAAGCTCAAATATGCTCGCCACCCAAGCTCTAATTGAGTCTCTCTGCTGCTTGGTGCTGTTTAGGTGGTGTAGGTTTTTTTCTCCAAAATCTGCTGCCTGCTGCAACCAAAAAACAAATCTATAAGAAACACAGTTGCAGGCTCAATGAACCAATTGTTAGTGTGATTAACACTCCTTAGTCTAATTCATCGTAAACGGTCACGATGTGCCTGTTCACTGTACTCTGTACCCTATAAGAAATGTTGTAAGAGATTGAACAACTGACCTTCCTATTAGTGGAAGATGCACAGCCGCCCATAACAATCTTCTGTTCCTGCAAGTCCGAAAGTACAAAGATTCATTTCCTGGGAAGAAATACCTAAAAGAGCAGAACTCTTTATGAAACTTCCCTCTGATGACATGTTTATTCCAAGGTGACCTTCTCTTCACACGGGCCTGTGTCATGTCCCTGCTTGCCAAAATGTTAGTCAGAATATTCATGAATATGTTAATCAAATGAAGAAGCAATGAAATCAAATGAACAAGTTATGTTTTTTTGTTTACTGCAACTTTCCAGACGTTATCAGCCTGTGTTTATGCACATGAGCACTATGTGTGTGTTAATGCATGTTCACCAGTGGATGTGGAGAAGGATCCCAGATGACGGAACTGGCAAAAAACTGAACTGTTTTTCTTTTCCTCCCCTGGCAGGAGACTTTTCAGCCGGCCGGTTAGTCAATTTTTCCACAGCAACTTGAAAGTTATTACGGCACATCTCAAAAAGAGGCATTTGTCTCAACTTTGCAAATCTCAACAACCTGATACGTTTGACAGGTTTGTGGAAGACACGTGTAAACTTTAAATAGCCCACGGTGAACTTTCCTTCTCTGTGAAACCAAATAACTGCTGTCAGCAGGACTTTCTGCCCAAGATGAACCTCATGTTCTTATTTTGTTTGCACAAGCTGAAGATTTTGGACATTTCTTCCTGGCTCCCTTCAGACTTTTGTTGCTTCTGCATATTCATACAGGTTAACATAGGCTGTAAAAAACACTAAATGGTCTTTCACGTGTATGAGCTTGACCTTGAGTCAGATGTTTTATTTGTAACAATCAGCCATTAAATCTACAATTACATTATATCAGTTTCTGACCTTAAGGGCTAGTGAACAAGATGACAAGTAATCTTTCACTGCCCTCTCTTTTTGAATGTTTCATGCCTGTTTCACCTTCAAACACACATACACTGTGTGTACACAGGGGCATTAAATAGGGGTTTATATTTAAGCCAAAGCAAATTTTTACAACCTTGCAATGATAAAAAATATTTTTAGCTTACTGTTGATCTGTGAAGCATTAACAGATTATTTATCATTTGTCCTAGCTTATAAAGCTCTCATGAAATATAACTTCCTAGAAAGTGCTACCATTTATCTGTTTGAGTGTACACTGTTTTTATTTAAGTCAAGTCAGATGATTGAAAAAATCAGCTTTTCTTGCTTTATCACTAGATCCAGTTTAGGTTCTACTGGGACTTTTTTCCCTTCGTGTGTTGCTCTTGGCTGGTTTAGCACCCAGGGCTGCCCCCTCGCTCCCTCATCCCACACAAAGGCCTGTCCTGCTGACTGGGCTGAAGGCCTGAGAGGTTTGATCCTGGTATTCAGCACTTGGCGCTCACCAAGTGAAGCCAGCGTTCTCCTGTGTTTAATGTGGGCTTTCTCGCTTCAGAGGAAACAGCTTTTTTGGCAGGGCTTTCTGGACCACCATCACATTCTCCTCCCTTTACCTAGAGACCAGTGCTTAGGACAGTTCCAATAACAAATAAGTAACAATCAGCCTAAATAAGCAGACTGATAAGGAACAGTTGGTCAGCATACTGCTGTTCTCATTTGAAGTCATGCTGTTGTCTAAAAATTGTTTGCCTCATTCTGATGTCTTTTCAAAAAATGGTTGCCATGGTTACACAGGCCTGAGGCACATCGCCATTCTGAAGCTGGTTGGCACAGAGTCGCCAGATATGGGCGGAGTCTTGGAGCTCTATCCTATCAATGGTAAGACTATTTAATACAAAATAGTGAACAGATATATTTTCTGAAAGCTAAGGTCTCTACTTTTTTGGTATCTGAGTTCTGTGTGATAAGTTTAGAGGAAGAGGAAAATGTCGATGTGCTACATCTATTGTGAAATTCACTCTTTAATACGTTGTTCCTAACCTGATCCTCTGGTCCATCCAGGGAGTGCTACCGTGGAGCGTGAAGGGCTCTCAGCTACCCTCGTGAAGGACATGAGAAACTACTTCCAAATCAGCCCAGAATACTTCTCCATGCTGCTGGTGGGGAAGGATGGCAATGTCAAGTCCTGGTACCCCTCACCCATGTGGTCCATGGCCATTATCTATGACCTGGTAGACTCTATGCAGCTCCGCAGACAGGAGATGGCCATCCAGCAGTCACTTGGCATGCGCTGCCCTGAAGATGAATATGGTGGCTATGGTTACCATCAACATGGATACGAACACAGTTACCAGGATGGCTATCACCAGGGGTATGGTTACTAACAGGTGTGTGCTTTCCAATGATGCACACTGGCCTGCAGCTGGTCCTTGGTGCTACCTTCCTTTGGCCCAAAACCTTTTTGTGTCTTTCCCATCTCCCACCGGGCAGTTGGCACAGACGAGTATTTTGTAGCACTTAGTGAAGGGAAGAAAAATGCTTTCACATATCCAGTTCTTTAACATTCCCTATATAGCATAGTACGCTGCTTTATACTTAGCAGCGTCAGATCTGGTTAGTCAGTAAATTTATGGATGAACCTGAAGGTTCAAAGATGGATTGCGTACTTTAGTTTTTGCCGGGGTTTTTTTGTTTCTTTCAACTTAAAACATTATTGCATCGTCTGTCATCTCTAGCTGGCTTTTTTAGGTCAGACTTACATAGTTTCAGCACACACGTTGATTTTGTGGATAATAGAACATATTTATTGGACATCTGTTGCATTTGAAGTGCAGTTACCAATAATATTATTAAAAGCATCACATTATTTCTCTTTTGTAAAGTTTCTGTTGCTATACATTGTTTCTATTTATACTCTGTTTCTATATGGCTATATGAAAATAAACTTTTGTTTACTACCAGGTCCTTTAAATTATTTGTCTCACTTTCAGTGCCAATGCACTGCAATAATCTTTTGAGCAACACCTCCCCCTAGTGGCAAAACTGGAAAGATATTTCCAAGTATATTTTAGTGGTCATGTAATGACTGAAACAACCTGCCGTACTTGAAATATCTACAGTAGTTTCAGACCTTCTCAACTTACTGTCCCCTCAATGCAATCACATTTGCAAACACACTTTGTGAGTAAGAAGGGCTGGAATCCACCTACCCATTTTCTTCCACTTATCCAATTAAAGGCATGGGGAGGCTGGAGCATCTCTCAGCTGCCATAGAGCAAGAGACAGAGTTTGTATTAAACATGGCCAAAGTGTATGTACAAGTAAGTCTTGTTCATTTAAAGCTTAGACATCAGACTGCGTTACAGTCTCTTTTCTCTTAGATCTGTATAATGTTAGTGGGTGTGGAACACTGTTATTCAGCAGGTGGGTAAAATATCTAAGAGGAACTGATATTGAGCTAAAACAGCTATCAAGTATGTGCAAAGTAATAGAATAAAAACATGGAGTTAGAGCAGCTAGTACCCTTTAGGTCTTCCTCCAGAAAACCTCAGTATTTAAATAAATGCACATAAATTTATGACAAGACATCAGCGATTGTATTAAATTGCATTACTTGCACAGAAGTAAAACAACTTGCCATTTATTTTACAAGAAAATGCATTCACACGTGAGGATTTTAATGGCACAAACAACAATCTTTAGACAATGTTATTTTACAGTTTAACAAGAAAATATTCAAGCCCCAAGTAAGAGAAGCAGGGAGTTTGTGGTGCTGACAGAAAGTCAGGCATTAGTGGCAATTATATCAATACCACTTATTCTGGCTCAGAAAATAAACACCAATAGTCCAATGAAAATAATAGTCCAGGTGCCAGATGTATAAAACATTCATTTATATTTTTTGTTTCCACCTAATGTCGGGTGTACTAAATTTTAGCAAGCCTCCTATTGTTTTGGGGGAAATTTGAGGTCCTATAAAAAGCTGCAGCTCTGCTTTCCTTTTTTCAACAATGAAAAACAACTTTTTTTTTGCCTCTCGTAGTAATGTGAGTGGTATTTTCTTTCTTTCCCCTTTTACTTTGGACTTAATAGTTGCCTCTGTTCCTTTTTTCCTTTTGGTTGAGTTTCTTCTTTTGTGATTCCAGAATTGAGATCACCAAATAAAAGACAATTTCTTTTATCCACCTTGATGAAAACTCTGCGTCTTCTTTGTGGTTCTATTCATCACCATGTGAAATGATTTGAGCTGCAAATGTCCAGACAGTTAAAGGAGCTCCTACATCCATTCATGACTGCAGAACGGAGTGGAAACAAGGCTGATGGACAAGAGTGGAGTTTCATGAAGGCTGAGATTTGGGGGGGGGTGCGTTGGACATCTATTATCAAAACAATCTTGAAACTGCAGTTTCTGGTCCTTAGACGTCCAGCACCAGCAAGCAGTCAGATGGCAGCATGTACAACAGGAATCATGTAAAGAAATACACTGTCCATAAAAGAAATCCATAATGAATCCAAAAGTATCACTTATCACTTATTTTCCAACAAACAGCGTTGCTGGTACTTTCCCCCATATGAATGACAGCAGTCATCCACAGACAGGCACGTTTCCAAAATATACAGATTTTGCTAATTCTGTTATTAAACACCTTGTTTGTTTTTAATTCTAGGAGTCTATCATATAATCTAGCAACAGTATCTTTCACCGTTTACCTGCTTATCACTGTTCAAATAAATGCTTTCACAGACAATCTGTGACCATGTTCCATCCAGTCAATTGTGCAGTTCGACACCAGCAGCAGGAAAGATGCAGAGTATCCTCTGGATACTACTAGCGCTATCATTACTACAAGGACTCTTCATCAGATTCACTGTCTGCATTTGCCTTTGTCAGGAGCTCGAGCTCCTCACCGTCCTGCAACACAAAAAAGAGACAAGGCATCAGAATGAATGCACAAGTGGTCAAATCCAGTGGACAAATCTGCAGACAATGAGGCACTGTGCACATCTTTTTTCTGTCTTCAGAAAGTGGAGGGCAGTATTTGCTCCCCGAAAAACACCAGGGAAGTACCGTGCATTTTAAAGCCATGGCTGCCAATGGAGAGGGTATTTTTGTTAGTGCTCTAGCAAAGAAACAAACACCTGAAACCTGGCATTTCACATGAATTACAGGGTTTCTTCCCGGGGACGCTGGGGATGAAAAGAATTCCAGGATAGTATCCCCACAGACTACTGTATTGTTAAATAGCTTCTTCCATCAAAAAACACTTGACTACTAAAGGAATTATATGAAGCAAGGCTCCAGCATGAGCCTGAATGCTATTTTCATAGCTGGGAATCAGGTTTCCTCCTGCACTCAAGAAATGACATTACAGAGAAACAAGAGCCAAGTTTCCTGCAGAGCACTTGGTATGTGGGCGGGAGTAGAGGAAGTGGATATACATCGGGGTTAGGTGAGCGAAGTTGTGTGAGGAAAAGGAGTGTGTGGGCTTGTGTGCGTGACTACTGAGGATATGTGGTTTGTCTCCTACCCCTCTTGACCTCTCAAACACCTCCCCGTTGATGACCCGTAGTTTCTCTCGCTGCAGGCTATATTCCAGGTCCTTGTGCCAGCTGGCATTGTAGATAAAGATGGCCAGCAGGACAGTGGGTGCCTGGAAGAAGAAGTCCAGCGAAGGGTGGAAGTCAAAGAGGAAGAGGGAGAGGCCTGTGACCAGAACAGTAGTGATCTGGCCAGTCAGCACATGGAACATGTTGTCTCTGAATTTTAAGATGAAGGCCACGGATAAGCCCAGGGCAGCTAGGGAGAACACAGAAGATTATGAGTTCTTCAAATGCATACTAGAGATAGATAAATGAACTAGTCCAGTTAATAACAAATTACATCCAGCAGCTGGATTAGTGTAGCTTAGCACTGATGCCAGAAGCAGGACCAAATACCCACCAGGTTCTGTTCAGAGGCATAAAACAACTCAAGTACCAGCAGCTTACAAGATCACAAGTTAAGATGATTTTGTCTGTAGACGACAGAAATTGTACAAAGTAGTGGTTTTGCATGCTACAGTCTTTTGGAGCTCCCACTCCGACCCCTCCTCTATTTACGCCAGCTTTCATCTGATTGGCTGCCCCTACATCTGAGCTTCTACAAACAGAACCAGGTGCTGCACCACTTCCTCTGCTTATCAATTTGACAGACTTCCTTCAACCCAGCCATCCCTTCCAGCTCATCCTGGAGGACACAGTATTCCCCAAGCCCGCTGAGACCTCCTCCCAGTAGGACATGGCCAAAAACACCTCACCTACCTAGGAGTCCAGGAGGAATCCTGGTTAGATGCCCCGAGTACCTCAACTGTCTTCTTTTGATGAACATATTTTCTCTTCCTCAAGCAACTTCTATAATCCACATGGACATGTTTGCATATAATTCAAAGCAGCAAACTAATTAAATTAAATTAGAGTGGACATCTCCAGCAACAGAAATGACAGTAGGAGATCTCAGTTCAATAAACATCACACTTATGCCTGCTTGATATTCATCTTCCAGTCATATGCTGTATAAAACAGTATTCAAATGTCCCTCTGATGTGAGAATGATGCACTACATCTGAGCAGACAAGTATCACATGTGGAGTTCCCCAAGGTTCCATCTTGGGACCCCTTCTGTTTAACATCTACATGCTCCCACTGGCACAGATTATAAACAACAACAAAATAAACTATCACAGCTATGCAGATGACACACAAATATATATCACAATGTCACCAGGAGACCGAGGCCCTGTACAGGCTCTTGGTAAATGCATTGAGGAAATCAATGACTGGTTGTGCCACAATTTTCTCCAGCTAAACAAAAACAAAACTGAGGTAATAGTCTTTGGCGCCAAAGAAAAACGATTACAGGTCACCAGAGAACTTCAATCTATACATCTAAAAACCACAAACCAGGCGAGAAATTTGGGTGTAGTGATGGATGCAGACCTAAACTTAGAAAAACACATTAAGACAATAACAAAGTCAGCTTACTATCACCTCAAGAATATATCAAGGATAAAAGATCTGATGTCTCAACAGGACCTGGAAAAACTAGTCCATGCATTCATCTTTAGTAGGCTTGATTACTGTAACAGCATCTTTACAGGTCTACCTAAAAAATCAGTCAGACAACTACAGCTCATTCAGAACTCTGCTGCTCGAGTCCTCACTAAGACCAAAAAAGTGGACCACATCAGTCCAGCTCTGAGGTCCTTACACTGGCTGCCTGTCCGTCAGAGGATAGACTTTAAAGTTCTGATGCTGGCCTATAAAGCTCTGAATGGTTTAGGACCAAAATACATCAATGACCTCCTGACCCAGTATGAACCATCCAGATCCCTCAGGTCATCTGGATCCGGTCTTTTATCAGTTCCCAGAGTCAGAACCAGACACGGAGAAGCTGCATTCAGCTTTTATGCTCCTTATATCTGGAACAAACTCCCAGAAAGCCTCAGATCAGCTGAAACACTCAGTTTATTTAAATCCAGGTTGAAGACTCACCTGTTCTCAGCTGCATTTGAATAAAGCACCAAATCCACACTTTAAGCTTAAATTTCAAAACTTACATTTAACTACTGATTTTATCTACTGTTCTGATTTTATCTGTTTTGATTTTATATACTGTTTTGTTTGTTTGTTTGTTTGTTTGTTTGTTTGTTTGTTAATTAGTTAGTTAGTTTATTTGCTTGTTTTAATCAATTTTAAATCATGCTTTTTATTTGTTCCTGTTTCTAATGTCTCTGTAAAGCACTTTGAATCACCTTGTTGTTGAATTGTGCTATACAAATAAACTTGCCTTGCCTTGCCTTACAGTGCTGACTGAAGTTATCAATCTTGTGATAGGCAGAAACACCAAAAGTTAAAAATGTTAAATGTAATTTTGTGGTCCCAATGACTGCATGATGTCCAAAAGTAGAATAAATGTTGAAGCTGTTTTGGTCCACTTTTGTTTAACACTGACATTTTGGAAGAAACTGACAAATCTGACTAATGGGGAAAGAAAAAATACAAATTTGTGATGACAGTGCGAGTCATTAATCCACCATTACTCACCAGTGACCAGCACCAAGCCCAGGGAATAAATGTTATGTCCATGTAGGAGGCCACAGTGCATGGTGAGACCTCGTGCCTCGCTGTTGAGCCCAAGAGTCAGACCATTAAACACCACACCAAAGGCATACCTAAAAAACACGCAGTAAAAACGACTGATGTTAGCACCAAAGTCACCCACGTGTCCTCTGCTTTCCCATTTTCTTCACAAGCAGCTTCTCACAGTTTACTGTTCTGTATGAAGATGCTTTCAGTGAGCTGCTCTCCTTCTTTGAGAATCTTCTCATTGTATATGTTGGCCATGGCAGAGATGAAGCACTGGAGGATGAGCAGGATGTGACCCACACCCAGAGATTGAAGCTTCGATACTACTTTGTCCCTCCAGGCCTGGCCGGGCAGGGTTGATGCCCATGATATACTGGCAGTGTAAAGGAACAAAGATGTGAAAAAGCGTATTTAATGTAACGTGTACATTACAGTATTTCACTGTAGATTAATAAATAATACAAAAATGTTATCAAGTTGCAAAAGAAGTGCTCAGAATTTCCCAAAGCTCTCTGCGCCATTTTACTTACAGAATACTTTCTCGATGCAGCAGTCAAAAACACCATCATTTAAATCTAATATTACAAATATGACAGATATGTGTCATTTATTAGATTACCAAACCTTTTCTTCTCCCTTTGCATAAAAGACCTGCTAAAATAGTTGGAACTGATACATATAATCTTTCCATCTCTCCCTACAGCTGTGGGCAGTTTAATATTCAGCTTCCCAGCATGAGCTGCAAAATCAACTACATTTGAGGGGACTGATCTCACTAAATGAATTCAAGGTGATTAGAAATTATTTGAATACAGTGATAAATGTTTTGCAGCCTCACTACATTTGACCTGCCATGATGTTTTCATAGTTTTGAAATGTTTTACTTAAGTTTCTACACTTTATTCTTTATCTCATGTGTATAAATATGCTCACTGGGTGTGTATTGTTCTATTTCGTGCTGCTGCTCATCTTGTTCTGGAAAATTGTTCTGCTGCAAAAATATTTTAAAGCTCCGAAGATCTACTTCCTAGTTAAGTAAAGGTTAAATAATCCTGCATGCTTCACTTTTACCTGCTGTTCTTCATCTCCTCCAGAAGCTGGGTGTAGAGTAGGCAAGAGTTGGAGGGGCTAGAAAGTGGGTTTGAGTGAAGACTGGGAACAGCTATTGAGTTTTGCTTGCCTCCTGATCCTGTTGTCAAGGAAACGATGGACAGGAAGAGAATAACCAACGCTGCCCACTGAACCCAAGACAGGCGCCTCCTGTAGGAAAAGGCCAAGTAAAAAAACAAAAAACAAATGACGCTTAATCTATTAGCTTATGATATACAGTAATAAAAATAACAGCCTGAAGATCAAATTACCTGTGAGTGCTTTAGTGCACTGGGACAAGCAAAACACATTCAGTAACAGTGTTCCATGGTATAGGAGACCATTCTCACTCACATGCACACTTTGGTCCGCTTACAATTGGAAAACATGAAAAAAATGTCTTTTTTCCTCAAGAGACCAACCAAATAAAATCTTAAAATATCACCTCTCATTCCACAATCAAACACACACAACATGTTTCTGAAGAACAGTTGAGTTAAAAGTGAAACTTACTTCAAAACTATTCTAAAGAGCACAGCTGTGGTCAGGATGACAAAGTTGGAGAACAACACTGCCATAGCCTGGGAACAAAAAGAACAGCAGCAGCTCAGCACATTTAAAGCATCAAATGTGCAGGACATTTTGTTAATGCCAGTCTGATATGAAAAGCTCAAATCTACAAACTGGAAAATGAGATTTGGATGTTAACAAAGGGTTAAAAAAATTTGCAGTCCAGGCAACCACATTTCCCTCTAGCAGCTATCATTTAGCAAACATCTTAAATATCTTATCTGTACTGACGGGCTGCAGGTAGCTCATAACATAGAAGATGATGAGGTTGTCAAGAAAGTAAAGGAAAGCAGGGACGGCCCACTTCAGGGAGCTGAGGAAGGAAGAGCTGGAGGCACAACCCAAATCTCTGCATGATCGGCCCTCTGTAGTAACAGAAAGAAAGAGTCAACGAACATCCTTCACTCATGGAACACAGAATGAGGTCAGATGAACTTATGAACACAAATATTAGTTGTAAGACTTGTCGTGGTTTTTGTCATATTCGAGACATGATAAATACCAATACCCAGATTATTGATCCCTTCTATTTTGTAATGGTTAATTCAACATTCCTGTTGCCACTGACCTTTAATTGGAGGGTTGACCTTATTTTGACTGGCCATCATTCACTAACCTGTCTCCTATAGACTTCATTAGTTTAGATTTTTAGTGCCTTCTACGATCCAAGCTAGCAGATGTATTGAAATCTAAAAATAATTTCAACAGGCAGTCACACCTATGTATGATAAACTAATAGGTACAATCCCAAAATTCTGGAGACACAGGACTTTATAATAAATAACACATAATTAATAATTCATTAATAATGGTCCTCTACAGGAAATTGGGCCAGTCTGACAGAAAGATTCTCTCTTTGTAAGTTTGAGATGAAAATTTACACAAATGAAACCACAAAAATGGGGCTTTTAACCTTAAAAACAGATCAGTCATATTTAACTGCTATGTTTTCTTTATTTTCATAGGCAAACTTGTAATCACACTTCCAACATTATCTTAGTTTCTTTTTAACTTCTTCCACATTCAAGCAGTTTGCCCAGATATCTGAAATTGAGGGTGTTTTCACATCTATAGTTCATTTACTCTGGTCCTAGCCACTTGATGAGTTTGTAAACTTTTAGCTTTTCGCTGTGATTGGGTTTGTTTCCACACAGAGAAGAAATCAAGTGAACTCCACACAAACCAAACTGCGTCACTACAAACAATGTGACAATGTTCAGTTTGCTCAGCAGCCAGATTTGTCGGGCTGGGAGCAACAAAAGTAAACGCAGGAAGAAGGTGCTGAACACAGAGAATTTATAGTTATTTCATGGCTAGCTGCTAGCTCGTACAGACCTTTGCACATCTATAGTACCTTTCGATGCTGAGATTACAAAGCATACATTGCTATGGGATGGGGGTTTTTTTATAGCTCAAACTACACCTTCACACCATAAACGAACCGCTCTGGAGTCAATTTGGAACTGTACTGAGACCACTTCCTCCAAAGGGTCTCGGTGCTGTTCTTTTCATCCGCTCCTGAGTGCAGTCACACCTGCACGAACGAACTACACCAAGGAGGGAAAACGAACTAGAGTTTGATTTAAACAGACAAAACACCGCAGGTGAGAAAACACTTTGAGATGTGATATGAAACCAGAACATAAGCTGATCCCAACTAGGACACACACGCAGGCATCAAAGTTTACCTCGGACTATGACCCTGACTGACATGACCAGACAGAAGAGCAGTTTAAGAGCCTCGGCAAGCAGATTTACAGATGCTGGGAGGAAGTCATACTTGTTTTCTGCAAAAAGAACAAAATGTGAAGACACGTGCTGAGCAAGCTGCCAAGACATTAACACTGTTTTTTTAAATATTTTTATCCAGCTGTGGAAAAAAAAAAAGTTGTGTGCATGTGTTTACTGTCAGGTAATCACCGGCATTGGCAGACATTTTCAGAAGTAGGATGCGGCTGGTCCCCAGTGTTACAAAGCCTAGCCCGAGAGCAAGAGTGTAGGCTGATGAGCGGGAGCACAGCCTGGGGCACAAGGGGCAGCATGCCATGGCTGCGACTGGAAATGGATCCAGCCAAACCTGCTGGAATACATACAACGATGCACGCACACATGTTTATCAGACTTCCCCTTTACATTATGATTATTATACTGCCAAAGAATTTTTTAAAACTTCAATATTCAGTAAGATGACCTTTATATTCCAAGAAATCTATGTATCAGGCAAGCTTTCAGGTCAATTCTTTAAGTAATCCAAGAGATTTATGTGGATGTTGGCTGTTTTTGTTTATTCTCTGTCAAACTATGACTCAATAAGCACTGTTGCAACAGGGCTCACAGGGATTTTCAGTCTGGTTATTGTGTCATTTGTCATACCATAACATTTTCTTCCAATTTCCCTTCCTTAAGAGTAATTTTTTGACAGCCACCCTCACACTGACACCATTTCTGATGCGGCTTCAGTAAGCAGTATATGGATCAACTGCAAGCTCAGATGCATCTCTCAGGTCCTGTGTCAGGTCTTTGCTGCATTTTTCCCCCCCTTATTCTAAAGAACGTGACTTTGAGATACTGTTAATCAGCTGTGGGCAGGTTTTTAAGCCTGCCACTTCTTCTTTTGTCCTCCACTTGTCTACCTTCCTTTTGCTTTTAAAGACACGCTGCACACCACGCTGAGATATGCCAAGTTTTCAGCTAACACTTCTTTGGTGCAAAAAATGCAATTTTGTCCCTGTCAAACAGCATTATCCTGGGCATTTGTTGTATATTCAAATAAGTAAATGGGCACAAATTCTGTGTTTTTGTGAGAGGCAGCAAGTAATAAAGTGGCTAGAAATATATTTTAAAATTGGCTCTTTGCTCAGTTGTTTGTTATGTGCAGACACAACACTGAGTTGGGCTCTCCTATTCTTGAATAATTCACAGGTCAGTGTTAAGTGGCTTATCAAACAAACAAAAATAAATAAATAAAAGTTCCTCTGAAAATAATCAGGTACAATGACTGGACTGAAAATTTGTTTTTCTTTTTTAAAAAAAAAAAAAAAAAAAAAAAAAAAAAAAAAAAAAAAAGCCGCCAATAGCCACAAATGAGGCTAGCTTCAATATTTTAGCACAGTACTGTATATCCACAATTTCACCAAGACAAAAAAAACACTCCCTGCTTAACAACAAGTATTGGTGCTGGGGGGGTTTCTGTTCACTAATTTAACAAAAAATAATAATAATGATTACACTAGATAGCTATAATAACTACTGAATGATGTTTTAAAAGTACTCTTGCTTTAATTTAAGCTTATTTGATACAGTGCTTCCTCTCCTTTACCTACTCACAAGAGAAAATACGTGTTTTGTACTCTTGCAATCTAAGGCGTTTGGGGAAAAACGCGACTTACATTACCATGATCTTGGCGTCTGAGAACCTACACAGACCTAAATACACAGAATTTAAACACCGACACTTTGCTAAAATACGTAGTTATATTTCACTTTTTACAAAGACTTAGTGACTTAAGAACTAACAAAACAAACTTACGGCAAATTAGTCGACAGTTTTTAAATCAACTTCCAGCTTTTGAGATAATTTAAACTCCATTGCCATGTCCAATAATACTCATAAAACTTATAAAAATCACCCGAAAATTGGCAGGACGGTAAGTTAGACTGTTCAAACACACAAAATTCAACACACAGCTCTATTAGCACAGAGGTGGCCTTGCATCACTAGCCTTTAAATCGTCACCTTTGTGCCAATAAACGCCGATAAAACACGCTTGTTCTTTTAAATATTCGGAAATTATTTTTTGAGGCTACTGTCCATAACATGAGAAAACAGGGCAGTGTTATAAATACCTGCCTGTTAGTCTTCTTTAGTACGAAACATAACCGAGGGATTGCATTTCGCCAACACTACCGCTTCCTGGTTGATCTGCGCATGCGTTAAAACACAGGTTACGACGTCATCCCGTTTTGGGCTTTGGAGTTGACGTCACGCCGCATTGCATTGTGGGATCGCGGCGCCATGACAGAAGGCCACAAATCAAAACAAACACACTACTGTGTTGGAAGCAGGACTATCAGAACCATGCTTAACCTCCTAGGACCTGCCGTCCACATATGTGGACATCACATTTGGGTTATTTAGACAAAAATACTCAATTTTGCTCTACATGGGCCTGATATCCACTTACGAGAACATTATACTGCTACCGTTCTATCATAATCTTAAATGAATATCCTCATTTGTGGCTCTTGTTTTTCTTAAAAACAAAAGTTAAAAAAAATCTGGTAATTCTTTATTTTTACATTCATCGGGCCCCAATATGCCCAAATATCAAAGAGAAATTAAAATCAGCGCAAAAGACAAAGGGTTGTATCGCGACCGATTGCGCCCAGACGCCAAGACCGGCCGTACTTGGAAAAAATAGTGTGCATCGGTAATGTGGACCTGTATGAAATAAGGCAGTGGAGCGGAAACTCTATTAGATTAGATTAGATAGAACTTTATTAATCCCTCGGGTGGGTTCCTCTGGGAAATTCGATTTCCAGAAAAGCACAGCACCGACAGAAGTTACAGAGTTAGAGAATATTATATATATATATATACACACACACACACACACACACACACATATATATATAAATACAGAGACAATATAAATAAAATATACGAAGGGGATAAATAGAATAAATAGGAATAAAAAATAAAAATACAAGTGAATTGCACATTTCAAGTATTGAGGTCTATTGCACTGTTGACTATTTACAAAAGTATTGCACAAAAGGTATTGCACAGTGAGGTGAAGAGGCACTACAACTTAGTTGTTCCCCCCTCCTTTGTCCTCCTGTTTCCCCTCCCTCTCCCCTCCAGAGAGGAGTTAAACAGTCTGATGGTGTGTGGGACAAAGGAGTTTTTAAGTCTGTTAGTTCTTGTCTTGGGGAGAAGCAACCTGTCACTGAACAGACTCTTCTGGTTGTTAATGGCCGTGTGCAGAGGATGCCTGGCATTGTCCATAATGTCCATCAGTTTCTTTAATGTCCTTTTCTCTGCCACTGTCACCAGAGTGTCCAGCTTCATGCCGACCACAGAGCTAGCCCTCCTGATCAGTTTCTCCAGCCTGGATGAGTCCTTCTTTGCTGTGCTGCTCCCCCAGCACACCACAGCATAGAAAAGTATGTTCACGGGACAAGAAAATAAAGTACAATCGAGACAAGGGGAAATAAGAGACAAGAGAAAAACGATACACGAATAAAAGCGTGAGTATGAGGCTACGTCCACGTACCCAGGTATTTTTGAAAACGCAGATTTTTCTATGCGTTTGCACCTTTCATCCACACGCAAACGGCATTTTCGAGATTTTTAAAAACGCCTGCCAGGGTGGATATTTTCGAAAACTCCGTTTTTGCATTTACACATGGATGAGAAAAACTGAGAAAATCCAGCGTCAAAGGTGTGCGCATTTTTTGACGTCACACTGTGCGCCACGTTATTGTTTCGGTGAAATGAATTTCTACAATACTGTTACTGTTAATTTTACTCTCTGCAGTGTTTGAATGCTTACATATACACACACAGTTACTGTCCCTCCACACATACGACTCAGTTATGCTTCAATGCCCCAGCTTTGTTTACTTTTTCCCACCGAGGCTTCTAGACTTCTGATTGGCCAACATTTCTGCATCGCCACCTGTTGCTTTGGCATGTTCATAGCAGCGTTTTCCTTCATTTCTGCGTTTACGTGTGGACGGGATTATTTTTTAAAACGAAAACGGAAAATCTCCGTTTTCAAAAATACCCGTGTATGTGTGGACGTAGCCTCAATAGATTTTTTTTGTCTTTGTTTTATGTAAATGTGATACTTTAAGTCACATCTTACTTAAAAATAATAATAAAATGGTAAACACTAAGTGAATGTCCAGATATGAGTTTAGGCTACATTTAATAGTATTTCAACTGCGTGAAATTGGGGTAAACCAGAATGACGTGTGGCCACACCTATTACACTTACAGTAATGCTTCCCTGAAATTATGGCATGTTTTTAAGAGTGGTTTTCTGGAACATTCTTAGGCCAGAGAAATTTATGATCAGAATTTCAACACTCATTCCCACCATCAACACCCTTCGGGCATGACTCACAGCAACGCACATATGTTTCCGGTTGCAAAAGGGAAGAAAAATATGCAGAGGCGCAGTTCATTGCCCTGGGACATAATGTTTGAACTAGCAAGTGTGGGTATGTGTACGTGTGTCAGTGGCAGATAAAGGACACAGCAGACTGTCAGCTCCCACGTTCTTGAGTTGTAGAAGAGAGCACACTCTCTGATCATAAGTATGAGGCTCCGTGTCCGGACTGGAGCTCGCTGGCTCCTACCTGTCCTGGTTCTTCTGACTGCCCACCAGGTCAAAGCAAACCAGCCTCAGCCTAAGGAGAGACATTACTACATTGCTGCTGTGGAGATAGATTGGAAATACTCTGGCAACGACACAGACGGGTAGGACAGCACTTCAAACTTTGATAAAGAGTAACTGGAATGCTTTTTTGTCTTTTGTTTTTTTGCATCTGGTAACTTTATTATTGTATTTTTAAAAATCCGTTTTATTATGAAATCAGTAGTCACACCATGTTAAATCAGTAAATTTCACATCTTAGACTCTATGCACCATTGTGTAAGTATTGTGGGGATTTTCTTATGTGTGCACAATGAGTAATGTTTTGTGTTTTTCCACCCTTCCTTAGGTCTGGACCCACCTATAAGAAAGTGGTCTTTCGGGAATATGAGAAAGGCTTCAGACAGGCTAAGACTCCTCCATCGTGGTTAGGTAAATGCTTCATGCGGTTTACATGAACACACCGTATGTCTGGTTTAAATTTTTAAGTAACACTTGCGCTGTCTGCACATTAACTAACCTGTGAGATAGAGGGGTGTATTTACCAATAACGGTCCCAGAAAGCAGTTACCATGTACATGCATGTATATTAGAGACTTAATGAACCAGTGTTGAGGAGCTTTTAAGGTGCCCTGGTGTCACGCAGTGGGAAAAAAACACAGACAGTCGCTATCAAATGCACTCTTTTTACTTTAGGACACATTAGGTTATTATTATTCATTTAATGTATCACTCCGAGTGCATATTAATGGATAAGCAGCTACCACTTTTGCTAATTTTTCTCTGAAGGAACTGAATTAAAAGGTTGGACTTTCTCCCTTCCACCTCTTATGTGGTGCCAAAGCATATATTCATTTGCAGGATAGTGAAATAACAGTCACAGAATAATTCCTTTCCCAGAAAGCAAGAAAAAAATATAAAGCTGTATTTACAAAGAAGAAGGTTACTTTCATTTTATTGCAAATGTTTACGGTCAAGTTGCTGTGCAAGTCAACAGTTAAAGAGAAAGAGTGATGAGTCAGTCTGTGTTTATCCGAGTGTGTCCCTGTGATGAACTAAAGCCTTTGAAACGACATGATTCCACATAAATAAACTTCTCTGCAGGTCTCCTTGGTCCCACGCTGAGGGCAGAAGAAGGGGAGACGATTGTTGTAACTTTCAGAAACATGGCCACCAGCCCGTATAGCATCAGCCCACACGGTGTGGCTTATGGGAAACAGTCTGAGGGTGAGTGCGTATTAACCCAGCTGCTAACAGATGAATGCAAAAGATGCTGCTATCCTTAAAACAACAGTACCACTACTTCATAACATAGTCTGCCTCATAATGTTACTGTGAGTGCTTGTGATGTCCCTTATTGTAATAATTACACAACATTAGCCAATACAACAAACAAATCTGTTTGACTTCTTCTAAAATATTAACCAGGCAGGCAGATTATCAAAGCAGACAGTTCTGAAGTCCAACAGGAAGAACTGCTAAGCCTTAGGAAATCACTCTCTGAGACTTACGGGAATTAAAGTGAACTTAGGAAATTGAGGCAAAGTGTTCCTTAATTTGCTCTTAATACAAAAGTCAGAGTACACAGGAAACACAAAAATGTAAGAAAACCATGCAGGAGAGTCTCTATTATCTTTGTAAACTGTTTAAAGCTGGTTATAAAAAAAGCTCTAAATCTTCTCAGACTTCCACATACTGCAGACAACGAAAGAGCGAACTAAAGGAGGCAGTTTTATTTAGGGTGTAAAAACTAACATTAAACACAAAACTAAACTAGAAACTGGAAACTACAAACTTCAACTAGAACACAAGAAAACGAACCAGGAACTCGGGAACGGCTAGGAACACGGAGGAAAACACAGTATTGTGAGAGTACAACGCAATAACAAGCAGGGGAAGACTGAGAACTAAAATACACACGTAGGAAACGAGAGGATGGGGGAAAAGGTGGAAACACAGCTGGAACTCATCAGATGTAAAAACTCAAAACACTGAACACAAGACAGGGACTATCAAAATAAAACAGGAAACACACGAGATGCACAGAGGCATGGATTTGATACTGAACAGAGGGAACACGGAGCACCGGGACAGGAGCGACATGAGACACGACTGACTGGGGAACAAGAAAATAAACATGAAGACAGAACAAAATCCACACTAAACGTGAGGGGCACAGGAACAAAACCCAAGAACTACTAGAAAACTTAAGGAGCTAGAAATACAAAACAGAAACCAAAACGCTAACTGTAGTAAATCATGATAACACAAAATATAAAACACCGGTTCACTGACCCAGGACCATGACAGTAACAAAACAGAAACTTTTGAAAGTCTTGTGAACATGACATCAGTGCAACTAAGGAGATTTTCTCTATATATTTTAATTTCATTTTAGTTAGTTTTCCAAGTTTACAAGATCATTTAAATTATTTTGAAT